TTGAAGAATTACCAACCCGTCACGGGTTGGCACGGATCGAAAAAAAATCATTCAACCCGTGAAGCGGGCCGGGTTCGATCCCCAACGGGTCGGGTTGACAGGTCGGGTCAAAAAAAAAAGAAACGATCAACATCTCTGATCCACACATTCTAGGATGACTGATTTGTCTCGTTCACTTTTTGAAGTACACATAACTCTCGGACTTAAGTCCGAGGTTTCCACATTTATTTTATTGGGACATCTCACCCGATGCAGCTACTCAAAAGCTAAAGTTATATGATGTGTAGCTTTCTTTGACAGTAAGAAGGTTGAAGGACTTAGCTGTTGTATGTCATCGCTGAGAAAGTTAGTACTGCTTCAAAATTGTTGTGCTGCTAAAAGTATTTTACGAACTAAATTGACTTTAAAGTTATGATGGTTAACCGTATTGTACTCTAATCAAAAGATAGAAGAAGCGCTACTTGAAATAGAATTTTTAAGTATTGACATAGGCTGAAGTGCATTGAAGTTGTATTGAGGTACAAATATATTAAATTGAAGTAAAGCAGGTCTTATACCTATGGATTCTCATTTCACTTCTTTCTCATTCTTGGTCCATTTTGAAAATCTTGAAAATAGGATTTCAGATCTAGCTCGATCCGCCTTGAGTTTTTATGAAGTTTCATAAGTAGGATAATCAAGTTGGATGAAACTTCACCAAAATTCACAATTGCGAAGTACTAACTCTTCTGTAGACAGAACACTTCGATTCGATCGAAAATTTACTTAATTATTTAATTTTTCATAGATTAAATGTTAACTGAAATTTTTCATTTTTAATATTAAATATGACTCTGTTTTCTGCAATGTCGATGCGTTATCCCCATTCTTTTTTTGCAACATTTTGCTGCATTTTCACTAGTTTGTTGTTTTACAGAACGAAGATTTATATCTTAGTTTCATGTAGTTTGCGACAAATAATTCAGATCTTGGTTTCTTTACTCGCAAAGAAATAGACAAAACGTTTAACACTAACTATGAGAAGTGATTCGTACGAAAACAAGAACGACTAGAGCAGATCAAAACGTTTTCTTTCATGTCTGCAACACCCAAGTTATCGGTGACGCACTAAGAATCTTTTTAGTCATTGGACATATGCAAGTTAAGGCCATAAAATCTATTAGACATCAATGTGTATCATACAACTTTTTCGAAAAGTTCGCTGGAACAATATAATTTTGAAAAAAAATTATGTTTTGGACGATTGCCTATATGCTCCTCTCCTAAATACTCGAATGCATGTTATTGTATAAGAAAAGTCCATTCGATAATAAAATCTCAAAGTGATACAAACAAATATAAATAAATGTTTCACAATATATCTCCTTACCGAGCCCGGCAATTGTTGTACCCGAGGATGCACTCTTAGCCCAAAATTGAACTCGATTATTGAGTGTATCTGAGACATAGACATTTCCATTCGAGTCGACAGCAACGTCAGAAGGCATGTTCAAATAATTCGCAGTAGAGCCCGATACTCCACTTGAACCACCAGCGACAGTGATACCAGTCGACGCACCCTGCAACCAAGCTTGCACGCGGTTATTGTACCAATCGGCAATATAGAGTGTATTAGACAAATCCAATGTCAGACCCATAGGGTTATACAATTCGTTAGCGTTCGTGCCCATCATACCCGAAATACCAGCTACAGTCTCACCCTCCGAGTTCCAACTGAATGACGGCATGGCAGCTACAACAGGAAAATTTATAATATCTTTTCATTACAGCTACACATTTTTTTTCATACAATCATAACATCTTTCCGCTAGTTGACAACGCAAAATTTTCTAAATTGACAGTCGCAACGCCTTAATCTTTTGATCACGAAATTTTGTTAGTCCTTTTTCGTGCCAATGCAGTAAATAATGTTTGTCGTTCCGTTTAATATTATTATCTCTTTTTTGATAGATACTGAAATTTGCTCATTTTATTTGTATGTATTGTGTAACAATCAAGAAGGAAAAGCGAAGCCCGGTATTCGGAATATGGTAGGGATACAGAGGATACAATGGGGACAAGTAGAATATGATGAGGATATGGACGCTACGACCGAGATATAGTAGATACAGGAATCTGCTTTTTCCCCTTGATAAAAAAGTGATAGCGTAGAATGTACTGAAGAAGACAAGCCAAAGTCTCTTTTTTTTTCGTTGTATCCCATATGACTCGGCTGGCTGTTTTGCACATATTGAGTGAAAGTGCAACGGGTAGAATTATTAGACACTAAGTAATTAATATTTTAATTGTTCTAAGTTTAAAGTCGTCACACCGCATAAAACGATGCATCCAGTATCGAAATATATACCAAAACACATTCCAGACTCTTTGTAATCGAGAAGAGTTTTTATTAGAACTGACCCATCTAGAGTCTCTCTACATCTATCATATACATTTTGTATCTTCTTCTTCACTGTATCCCAATGCATCCTCTGTATCGCCATCGTATTCGGGATACGTAAAATCCGCTTTTTCCTTCTTGGTAATAATGCATCCATGAGGTGCTGTATGTCGTTTATCATTACTGTTCTTAACGACTATAGAGAAAGAAAAATATTCTTTCATCAAACTGTTTGTTCAGACTTTTGTCTTCCTTTTCCATATTTTACTATATTAAAGTTTAGTTCTGTCGAATTAATCTCTCTTGGACACTGTCATATTTTACATTATTATTACATTTCTGTTCTTAATCGCATAATTATTATTATGCTCTGTCACCTCATTCGTTCTTCTCAGTCCATCATTTAAAAGTCAATGAGTTGAGCATGCATGCAACCACATACTCGAACATTTGATTACATGTTAAGATTTTTTAACGAGTTAAAATTTGTGACAGATATGCAAACGTTGCAACAGCAAAATTTTATGCGACATTATACCATGGAACTTTTAATGCGTCTGAATTCTTTTAAAAACCTTAACAAGTATAAAACAGTTTCAGAATGTATGGTTGCAACAATGTTGAATTCGTTGAATTTTTAATGCTTTTTCATGCATTGTACAGTACTGATATGACTGACTGGAGAAAGCTAGCTAAGATTTTATTACTGTGTTACTTATATCTTTGATAAAAGGTTCTCTTGGAGAAATGGAACAATTTTCATTCTACATGTCAACAACTACTACCTACTTCTTCAGTTTCAGTGCATTACTCTGATCTGACCATCCGATTGGTATAAGTACCGAAGAGACGTTCAGCTCTATCATACAACCGCCAAACAATATTGATAGATGACCACTTCACCAAGAGTGTCATCTATGTTTCTTCTTTAAAAGATTGTTTTTAAACTATCGATGAAACTGATAAATAATAAAAGTTTGGCCAACCGATTTGTTTTTCTCCTCAAGAAGTAACTTATTATATTTGTAGTATATGGCAAAGACACCATAAGCAAAAAAGAAGAATCACTAGTTCAAAAAACTCAATTTGCAGAGTCAAAATTTTTTCAAAATGCAAAATGATTTTGTCGAACGAAACGATCTTCTGTATTTTGTGAACATTGATTCTATGTCTCAATGAAACCACAACCATAATATGATAAAGTCAGAGCATTGTGATTGCATGGAAGTAACGGGTGGCGCAGAAATAATTATAGTGTTTGTATTGTCTACATTTCCCCTTGTCCTTACATGCAATCGAGCTGATTTTTCCCAAAAGATTCCCCGTCCAATTCTCTGCAAAATGGTATATAAACGATAAGCCAAAATTTTGTGACGTTGTTTCGGCTCAATAAAATGTGATGTGCCTCGAAAACGTGAAAAATGTAATTCAGAAACAAAATATTTTGCCCACAATAAATCAAATCTTTTAGTCGTATGAAAGTTGAATATGCAGAATTGTAGCCCTTGAAATTTTCTATCGATTGGCCGCAACGGTGAATTTCTTCTCTTTATTTTGCGCTTTCAGTCATGGTTTTCGTCAAAGCCCCATCTTCAGTCTTTTCAATTTACATGTTAAGGCCATTCGCAGATTGATCATATTTCGGACAAAAGTAAACCAATCATGCTCGCTCAGGTGTCACTTAGAAGAGAACATTTTTGCCTCCTAAATTTACATGGAAATCTTTTTAAGTAATTTGTTTTCAAAAAACCTCTGGATGATAACACTGACATTTCGCTGATGTTATCATGCCAAGTGATTAATTAGCCATTTTTATCAGGTTGACGCTAGAAGAGAAAACGAATGCTGTGCCGTCAGATAGAGAACATCTAAATGTCTAGGAAAGCAACTTAGAATCTCGTTTATATCTCTCCTTTAGCATAGATTTCAAAGTGCAAAAAGTGAGCAGACAACGATTACTTTTTTCACGTTTCCGAGGCACATCACATTTTATTGAGCCGAAACAACGTCATAAAATTTTGGCTTATCGTTTATATACCATTTTGTAGAGAATTGAACGGGGAATCTTTTGGGAAAAAATCAGCTCGATTGCGTGTAAGGACGAGGAGAAATGTTGACAATACAAACACTATAATTATCTCTGTGTCACCCGTTAGATTCACTGCAAAAGTGACTCTATTCAATATTCGAAAAGTTGTGCAGTTAGACTAAAACATTTACAAGGGAATACAGCTCCATCTAGCTACTTCAGGTTTCGCAACTAAGTTGTTAACCTTACTTGTTGTTGTCGTAACTATCGTTGTCGTTGTCACTGTTATCGTCGTTACCTTTGTTGGTTTTATTGCTGAGATTTTCATAAAGAAAAGAAAAAAGAAAAAAAAATGATTAAATCATCTGCTCTTGATAATAAATACTCTGTCGCACATATAACTCTGTTGATCAATTCTGTTAAAAGAATGTGATAGTCTTTTGATATTGGAAAAATTACGCTGAATATATAAGAGTTGTATACTGCATACTAAACTGAAAAGTGGCAGTCGCCTTCAGATACACGACAAGATTTTTTTCTTTGACTAAACATGTTGATGTAAAAATGAACTGTTTGAGATCTCATTTTCTTAAACTGGATTTGAAATACATGCAAGCTACATCGAAGTCTTGTCGAAATTTCTTGATAGCACTTACTCCCTTCCGTTCATCATATCCTTTATTAAACGGCCTTCTGAGAATTTTTAAAAATTTATTTCTCCTGGAAAAACTGAAAATCTTTGCAAGATTACTTAATAGAGCGACTGAATTTGAAGTAAACTAGAATTTATACTCAAAATCTATCATAACTTTAAAGGAATAATACCATATAAATTATCGAAAAACTTCGTGCACAGCGAGACATAATAGAAATCTCTCTCTCTCTCTTAGAAGACCGCTCTAGGAAATTCTTTTGCTTAGTCACAATAAGAAGACTGAGATGTTCTAATTTTGAAAGAAGGATTCATATCTAATCGTGAACTCTTCTAAACTCTCAAAAATATTATGCAATACAGTAAAATACTACAGTTTTTAATTTTTTCTTGGCAATGAAGAGAAGTCCACGAAAAAGTGAATTAATGACGAGTCAAAATTTTATCGGCGATTAACATGTCTATATTCGACTAAAAAACTTATTGAGAAACGCTTCTGGTTACTAAATCACTTTAATAGTTTATCAGTTGAATATACTTTCGATAAACAATTCATTGCTATATACCATATGAAAAAATGTCTCATAATAAAACTTCGATCCTATAGTTTATCAGCCTCATATATTTTACAACGGATTTGTTTTGTAACAAGGGGGAAAAGCTGATTCCGTGATTCCATATGATTCTATTGATTCTATGTGATTCTATTGATCCTATGTGATTCCACTGATTCCGTTGATTCCATGTGATTCCACGTGATTCCGTGTGATTCTACATGATTCCACTGACTCTGGAATCACTATGAATATCATTGTCTTTCTCGACTGTGATGCCGTTACATCAATAGCAACATCATAGACCCAT